TGGCCAAGATAGGAAAGGGAAGTTCTAGATTCTTTAAAGGAAGCCAGTATTTTAATTTTTAAATGTTCAGAAAAGACTGAAAATTCATACAGCTACAACCTTTCCTAAAATCAAGCCTCTCCTGTAACCTTCTTAGCTATAACTAAACCAGTTATCAACAACTGCCTTAAAAAAAGATTACATAGATAGAGGATAGTTGAGACTTTCTGAACAGAAAATAATCTGCTTTCCTCTATATTAAAGAAAATTTAGAAAAAAAAAAGAAAACTTAGGTTTTTATTAGTGAGTATTAACTTCCAGGCAGAAGAAAGTGGATGCAGGTTATTAAGAGCTTTCTGAAGCAAGTTAAATTCTACTTTTTCTGTGCTGGGAAAGAACTGCTACCCCTGAGGTCTAAGTACCATTTACTCTGTACAGGATACACACCATCTGTATCTTCTGCAATGTGGGTGTACACGCATCCGGTGACCAGCAAGCTTGATACTGTTTCCGTGGGCTCAAAATCTGGAAGGTTAAGAAGGTCATCAACTATGTCCATCACAATTCTGGCTGTGGCATCAGAGAGGTTCTTTGCTGAGAGAATCGCAAATACATTGGTCAGGATATCACATTCTGGGTGCCCAGGTTTCTGTTTAGCCAGGAAAGGGAAATATCTGAAAAAAAATTAATAATCACTTTTTTCCTCAGTATGTTTAGGTGTAAAAACGTGTTTCATAAGACTTTTCTTTTTTTTTTTTTTGGTCCGGTCATGGGGCCTGAACTCTGGGCCTGGGCGCTGTCCCTCAGCTCTTCAGCTCAAGGCTAGCGCTCTACCACTTGAGCCACAGCGCCACTTCCGGCTTTTTTCTTTTTGCTTATGTGGTGCTGGGGAATCGAACCCAGGGCCTCAGGCATGCAAGGCAAGCGCTCTACCACTGAGCCACCTTCCCAGCCCCTCATAAGACTTTTCATACTGAGTTGAACAAACATATATGTGAGAATAAACATTGATAGTATTAATTAAGGTGGTGTATGCCTGTAATCCCAGCTACTGGGGGTTGGATAGGAGCAGGAAGATTTTAGGTACAAGACATGTCTAAGCAAAGTTAGCAAGACTATCTCAAAAATAAAAATAAAAGCAGAAGGATTGAGAAGGCATGGCTCAAGTTGTATACTGCTTGCTTAGTAAGTATGAGGTAAAAAATCAAAATCAAAAGACATTTAGCCGGGTACTGGTGGCTTCGTCTATATTCCTAGCAACTCAGAAGGCTGAGATCAAAAATCCCAATCCAAAGCCAGCCCAGGCAGGAAAGCCTGTGAGACTCTTAACTCCAGTTAACCACCAGAAAACCAGAAGTGGAGCTGTGGCTCAAAGTGGCCGTAGAACACTAGCCTTGAGTGAAAAAGTTCAGGGACAGTGACCAGGCCCCCGAGTTCAAGCACCATGACCAACCAACAAACAAAATCTTCAGATATTCTTTAACATAATTCACACTAGCACACTGAAAGAAAAACCCCTAAGAGGTTATATTAATATATCTTTCTGTCCAATAAATATTGGGCTTAGGTTAAGCACTAGTGGCTCATTCCTGTAATCTTAGCTACTCAGGAGGCTGAGATCTGAGGATCACAGTTCAAAGCCAGCCTGAGGCAGAACAGATCCCGTAAGACTCATCTGCAGTATCATTCAAAAACTGTAAGTGGAGGGGCTGGGAAGTTGGCTCAGTGGTAGAGCGCTTGCCTTGCATGCCTGAGGCCCTGGGTTTGATTCCTCAGCACCACATAAGCAAAAAGAAAAAGACCGGAAGTGGCGCTGTGGCTCAAGTGGTAGGGCACTAGCCTTGAGCTGAAGAGCTGAGGGACAGTGCTCAGGCCCAGAGTTAAGGCCCCACAACCGGACCAAAAAAAAAAAACTGTAAGTGGAGCTGTGGCTCCAAGTGCTAGCTAGCCTTAAGCAGAAGAGCTCAAGGACAGCACCTAAGACCTGAGTTCAAGTCCTACAACTGACCAAAAAACACACAAAAAAGGACAAAACGACTGTGCTTAGTATAGGCAAGTTCTTTTTTTTTTTTTTTTTTAATTGTGAAAATACTGTACAGAGGGGTTACAATTACATGGGCAAGATAATGAGTACATTTCTTATCAAGCACTGTAGCCTCCTCCTTTGTTTCCCCTTCCCATCCCTTCCCATCCTCCCCTGGCCTCCCACCCAATCTTCCCCGCATGCTCCCCACGCCCCAGTATAGGCAAGTTCGGAGTAAAATACCTCACATATTGCCAAGTCTACTATTAATGAAGTAAGTCTTGTTATGTATCTAACAAATGGCAAACACTGGGAATTTTAGTCACTCACTCAATATGCAATGAATAGTAACTACATGGGGATTAAGAGGAATAACTCTCTGTAGGGGAAGACATACTGATAATGGTATCTTTCCGCAAGGACTTAAAACATTATGAAGAGTGAGGGTCCAGCTATGTCAGTGATGACAGAGCTGTATAGTGGTAGAAAGTGCTCAGGACACAGTCTGAGCTACATGGTGATTAGAACCAGTACAGCTAAGACTATCCAGGGACAGTCCTAGCTTATTTGTTTAGGCTTCACTATTTAAAGCATCTTCTTTTACCTTAAGGAAACGCTTGAATATGGATAATAAATTATCACTCTATTTGGTGAGTCTTTGTTTTCTTGAATTCATCTAATCAAACCTGATTTGAACATTATTGAATGTATGTATGTATGTATTGAATATCATAGAGTACTCCATAAATCTGTACAATTTATGTCTTTTCAGAAAAAGTTTCAGGGCTGGGAATGTGGCTTCGTCGTAGAGTGCTTGCTTGGCATGCATGAAGCCCTGGGTTCCATTCCTCAGTACCACATAAGCAGAAAAAGCCATAACTGGTGCTGTGGCTCTCAAATGGTAGAGTGCTAGCCTTGAGAAAAAAGAAGCTCAGGAACAGTTTCCAGGCCCTTAGTTCAAACCCTAGGACTGGAGAAAAAGAAAAAGATTCTCATGTATCCTAGACATCATACACTTTGCTATCAATCAGTGCCTTTTCCTCAACTGCCTCATCCTCTATAATTGAACCAGAAGTAATTCATTATATAGAAAGACCATAAAGTAAGTTAGTGTTTTAGCCTAGTTTTGGTTAGATTAATCTAAAAATATTGTATCATCTAGCACTATTAATAAAGGTTATACCTTGAATTTCTGCTCCAGACACTAATTAATTTCAGCAGAGGAGTAGGTGAATACTGACTCTCAGATCCAAGCCTGCAGATCTAGTAAATAAAAACAATATAAAGTAAAAATATATACAGGGAAAAAAAACCAAATACAATCAACAAGTGGAATAAGCACCACAACGGAGGACAAAGGAACTAATAAAGGACTTGCCCATAAAGGACAGGCTGAGGAAAAGACAGAAGGATGCAAAATAGTGTCATTACAGAAAATGGCCAAGATAGGAAAGGGAAGTTCTAGATTCTTTAAAGGAAGCCAGTATTTTAATTTTTAAATGTTCAGAAAAGACTGAAAATTCATACAGCTAGCAACCTTTCCTAAAATCAAGCCTCTCCTGTAACCTTCTTAGCTATAACTAAACCAGTTATCAACAACTGCTTGCAATCACAGAAATCCAACAAGGAAATGCAAAACAAAGTATCCCACATCTTTCCCCACATGCTGTTACTATTAGGTGCTGTGAAAGTTATATCATATGTATATCATATTTACTTTCACAAGCACATTCAAATAGTCCTGGAGTATATATGACAAGATAATTAAGAAAGCAACTCTTGATCTTTACTTGTAGTACTGGAGTAAATAAATGTATTCTAGAAACTTGAAGACATAAAGAAAAGCTAATGTAAGAGAAAAAATTGGGCACCCCTATCTTAGTAAAACAGACTGGTGAATGAGTAATAAAAAGTGAAAGGTGGTTTGGAATATGGCATAGTGGTACAGTGCTTGCCTACCATGCATAAAGCCCTGGGCTCAATTCCTCAGTACCACATAAACAGAAAAAGGCAGAAGTGGCACTGTGGCTGAAGTGGTGTCAGCCTTGAGCAAAACAAGCTCAGGGACAGTGTCCAGGCCCTGAGTTCAAATCCCAGGACTAGCCAAAAAAAAGCGAAGGAAAAAGAAAAAAGGAAAAGAACTGAAGGGTGTCCAGGCAGAACACAGAAATCAAGGTTTACCTGGGGCCAAACTGCACCGTGAAACACAGCATCAATTTCTTCTGTTTTGAATGGATGGGATTCCCAGTCCAAAAAGATATCAGTTACCATTTTGATTCCAAGACGTCTTAAATTTTTTAATGGGCTAATAAACCTCAACTGTATCTGCAAAACAAAACAAAGATTTTCTATTTTTTAAAAAATGCACTTTCTCTCTTTCTCTCTCGTCCCTCACTCTCAGAGAGGCACTCAGTCTCAGATGTTGAATCTAACTAGAAATCATGTGATCAAATCTACTGGCTTTGATTCATATCAACTTAAAGTAAAATAATATTAGTTGTTCTTAGAATAATCACTTCTTCCTATGAACAGAGCATTCTTATCAAAACAGGTTTTGGGGGGGACAAAAAAAATGCCTTCCGAATAGGAAAAATAAAAATTAAGCCTTTATAGCAAATCAAAGTAAATTTTCCTATTATTTTCATATGTAGATTTATTATTTTATTTTTTACATTTTTTAATAGTTTTAAATTATTCTATTCTGGAGGCAAGTAAAGAATTTGTGGTCTTTGCATATAATAAATACTTGGTGTAATAAGAGAAGGGGAGACTAATGAAACATGGGAAGCAACATATATACTAACAGAAAAAGGCGATTTTGAAAAAAAAAGATTTGTCTTTTTAGAGCACAAAAACTGCAGTAGGTCTGAATCAATAGCAATTTTTTTTAAAAAACAACAGATACTGCTATTTCTCTTGTAATCTCCTTCCCTATGAGACATAAAACCATAAACACAGAGACAATTTGTTCAGGTTCAAGGTGGAATGAATTATGGAGTCTCCACCAATGGCATCACAGTCCTCGTCCTGATCCTCAACTTAAAGTCTTACTGAATGCAAATACCCTATTTAACAAAAGAGAAAATGCAATGATAATTGGTGAGAAATTCCATAAAATTGGAAAGGACAGCAAAACTATGAAGAGGCACTATTTCCATAGAAATTAAAGAATGAAGAAGTTTAGGTCAGGGGATGAGGGATAAAGTCTTCAGAGAGATCTCTTCGAAACACAGAATGTTAAAAAAATCAAACAAATGGGAAGAATTAACCTCTGATTGCTTTCTTCATTTGATTAAATATACTGGATGAGCACAGGATATATAAATGACTATTTTTACATATGATCTTTGGTAGTAACAGCTACTCACAAATACTGAATTTCAAGTACTTACAAGACACCATGAATAAAATGAATAGAATGTTACTTATCATGAAACTGATACTCTAATCAAAAGAGGTATTTGAATACAAAACATTCTAAATTGAAATGAATGTGAACACACTGCCCTTAATTTGCTGAACAAGCCTGAGTAATCGATATTTCACACACTATCTGCTTTTAGATAATTGTCTCATTATGCAAGTTATAGGCAGAGGAAATGACAAGCAAAAATCATGAATATGATATAGTTACAAGTCATGCTAATCCAATTAAATTCTAATGGTAGTATTTTCATTATCTTTTGAATCATGTTTGGTAAGAGATAAAAAGTATCACTCAAAAACCATGGGAAGGCTGGGAAGGTGGCTCAGTGGTAGAGTGCTTGCCTTGCATTCCTGAGGCCCTGGGTTCGATTCCTCAGCACCACATAAGCAAAAAGAAAAAAGCCGGAAGTGACGCTGTGGCTCAAGTCGAAGAGCTGAGGGACAGCGCCCAGGCCCAGAGTTCAGGCCCCACGACCGGACCCAAAAAAAACAAAACAAAACAAAACCCATAGGATTAGTCAGGCATTGGTGGCTCATTCTGGTAATCTTAGCTACACAGGAGGCTGAGATCTGAGGATCATGGTTCAAAGCCAGCCCAGGGTAGGAAAGTCTGTGAGATTCTTATCTCCAATTAATCACAGAAAAAACCAGAAGTGGAGATGTGGCTCCATTTGGGAGAGTGTTATCCTTGAGCAAAATGGAGCTCAGGGAAAGCACCTAGGATCAGAGTTTGAGCACTAGGACCAGCAGACAAAACAAAACAAAACAAAAACATGGTTTTGTATCCACTGGAGCAAATAACAAAACAATGTTAGCAAATATGACTTCAAGTCATACCTCCCAACCCTTCCGCATGTCCTACTGATTTCTGTTTATTCCACAATGGTTGAACCTGAAAATGAATTAGATTTCAAATTCTAGAAATTAGTGTGTCTGGGTATATATTTGTAAGTTACTCCACTGCTTATAAAACCCTACAAAAGCACTAACACAGTTCAATGTCAATCAATACCCTGAAGGATATGAAAGATATCAAAAAGCAAATGTGTAACTGATTTCAAACACTCAGATGTAGAACCTTGTCTCAATCAAGCACAATTACTGTGGATTCATTATGATGCTTTAAAAAATTACTTGAATTTATTTTTTAAAAAAGAAGAAGAAAAGGAAGAAAGGAAAAAAAAAAAGCAAGATCATATCTGTGAACAAGCTTAACACCTCACTAACTAATGAACTGTGAAATTGCATAAATGATCCTCTAAGTTACTGATTGCTGACCTAGAAGCAAGGCACATTACTGAGTAACTTCTTCCAAGTTAATAAAAATTCCAAAGGACTTATACAGGTTTTACAAAACCTCAACTTTCATAATTTAACATTATTATTAGACTATCACATTTACTGGCTATAAGGCATAAACAAACTCTCACTTGATTCTTTGGCCTGTAATCTCCCATATAATCCAGAGAAAGATTTTTTTTTCTCCTCTAAGACTTCTTTTTGGCCTCATCTCTTAATCTTTCAGAGCCCAAAGCAACCAAAATGGCATTTTTAAAACACCTCTCAGTCTTAATGTACTTCAAGTCTTTCAGCAGTCTTCCAGGAGACAAAGTACATTCTCACTCTTAGAAGTAAATGCACACCCTTGCGGTAACCTATGAGGTTCTACATAATCTGTCTTTGTGTTCACTGTACTCGAGCCATCTCCACCTTGACTCTTCTTAGAACACACTGGAATATTCCCACCTCAGCGAGTCTTCACTGGTTAGTTATTTCATGAAAAGCAGATTTATATCCATCTGTACACCTCAAAAACAGCCTAACGTTTTGGCCATCAATTTTCACTTATCATGAGAGGCAGTTCACTGGGAATATTCATTAGTCAAATGAAATGAATTTTAGCCAGTTTAAAATTGTACTTATTTGTCATTCACTGAGAGTCAAAATCTGAATAAATCTTTACTGCTCTCATTTTCCTAGAAGCCTTCAGACTATGAAGACATCATGTATAGTCTGTACTCCAAAGAGGGCATCCACTTCTGTCCACATACCTAATTCAACAGAACACAAGCATGTTCTGAACACAATTCAGAAAACAGCACCTCTTAGCAGCCAGCTGAGTTGTCTGGTCTTGTTGCTTACCTATGAGAAACAGTGCCCTGATTGTAGGTCAGTATTTAATTCTTAAATATTTAAATTCTTATAGTTCCAAGAAACTCTGTTTCAAAATAACAAGAATAATGGTAACAATGCTCATTTCATTTTCCAACAACATGGAGAAATGATAGCTGAAATAAGCCTACAAATCTCAAAGCTCTTGGAATTAAAGAGCAAAGAAATGCCAGCACCAGCACCAGCACCACTAATTTAATTTCTTCTTTTTTTTTTTTTGGGTCCGGTCGTGGAGCTTGAACTCTGGGCCTGGGTGCTGTCCCTCAGCTCTTCAGCTCAAGGCTAGCGCTCTACCACTTGAGCCACAGCACACTTCCGGCTTTTTTTCTTTTTGCTTATGTGGTGCTGGGGAATCAAACCCAGGGCCTCATGCATGCAAGGCAAGCACTCTACCACTGAGCCACCTTCCCAGCCCCCACTAATTTAATTTCTGAGAATACCCTACCACTAGGTATTTTATATCCTTTGGAAATATACACTTGAGGCAATTTATGTTTTTTAGTCATATATAAATATTTATAAAATGAAGATATCTATTATATAGAAGAATGTTTCACAGATACATTTTTAAAGGATTATATAAGCAGGAGATTTAACCTAGAGGCATGCTAGTAACTAAGCTTCCAACCCAATTCTCAAGTAGACCAGACTCTCAGATTAGGGAGAGAGCATCTACTGTGAATGTCTCACCTTTTCTCGTTGGTCAAGGATGTGTGATACAGTGGCGGTCATACAGAGTAGTATCTGCAGAATCTTTGGTAAGTATGCACTGATCAGATGACTAATGTTCTTCAACACGATTCCCAGACTATTTAAGATGCCATGCTGACGACCCAAAGGAAGAACTTTAGACAAATCCAAATCTTCTACAGCTTGAGTGACTGCAGAATGGCACTCTCCTAGTAATAGAGGGAAAGGTTAATATGAAAGTATTGCTGGCCAGGAACTGATAGCTCCCGTCTGTAACCCTAGCTACTCAGAAGATCTGAGGATCGCAGTTTGAAGACAGCCCCAGCAGAAAAGTCCCCGAGTTATCTCCAATTAATCACTCAAAACCTAGAAGTGACACTGTGTGGCTCAAATGGTAGAATGCTAGCCTTGAGCACCAAGAAGCTCAGAGACAGTGCCCAGGCCCTGAGTTCAAGCCCTACAACCAACTGAAAGAAAAAAAAAGTATTTATAACTATGGCTTCCATTTCCTTAAATAATACATTTTCTATTGCTATTATATTTTATAGCTCCTTTTGATTCTTACTACATATTCAATTAATTTAATCAGATTTTAATATTTCTTCTTTACAGATGAGAAAACTAAATAAAGGAGGATTAAAAAAAATCACAACACTAAGTCTCTAAATTGAATTTCTATTCATTCATTTTCCCCCCCAAATTACTATTCCTGAGAATATGAGTTATTAAGAGCTATTCATTCATCATTCATTCATTCATTTATGTAGTACTGGGACTTGAACTCAAGGTCTCATGCCCAAATACTATAACAGTTGAGCCACATCCCAATCCATTTGCTTTTAGTTTGTTTTTCAGATAGTCTCACACTAACTTTGCTTGGGTTGGCTTTGAACTAACTATGGCCTTTCTACACCCCCTTCAGAGTAGCTAGAATTAATGACATGTACTACCATGTCCAGCTTGTTTTCAAAACTTTATTCAATTTTTATTTTTATTCAAAACTTTATTCAACTTTACTCAAACTTCAATCCTCCTGTCTGTGCTGGCATTACAGATGCGTGCCACTATACCAAGCTGATATACATTTTACTTATGCTTAGCTTTCACTGAGCTATGCTCAGTCCAGCAGATGCATAAAAGCTGCCTTGCTATATATAAGCTCCTTAAAGGCTAAGAATCAAATGTTCCATTTCTCTTGTAGTCCCTGGTTAATAAATAAGACAATGTCCATCATAAACAGTTGATACAATATTGGTTTCAGATTATTTAAGCTTTACATAAACCATCTGAAATGCAGATTATAAACTTAGTGATCCTTGCATTCAAATAGTCTGCTCACAACACAATCGTTTATATCTACCCTTTTACAATGGAGCTATCAACAGTAAAAACTTGTGCCTTCACAAACAACCTTTTACCTAAGGAAACTATTCTGAATAAAAACCTATTTAACAGCTCATCTAAAAGCATACAAAAAATACAAAATAAACAACCACAAAACTACCCAGCAAATAAATTCTTTTTTTTTGGGGGGAGTGGGGGTGGGGTCTGGTCGTGGGGCCTGAACTCTGGCCCTGGGAGCTGTCCCTCAACTCTTCAGCTCAAGGCTAGGCTAGCGCTCTACCACTTGAGCCACAGCGCCACTTCTGGCTTTTTTTTTCCTGCTTATGTGGTGCTGAAGAATCGAACCCAGGGCCTCAGGCATGCAAGGCAAGCGCTCTACCACTGAGCCACCTTCCCAGCCCCCAACATATAAATTCTAAGTGTAGCTAAGGCAAAGCAATTGTGGGACTGGAACAAAGTATTTTGGGGGGCAATCAGAAAAGACTGGGTTCAAATTCCAATTCTACCATCATCCATTAACATTCTAAACCCAGTTTCCTTATTTGTATAATAGAGACAATCAAGGAATCAAGCACATTACTTGCTGACCCTTCATCCCAGAGAACATAGCACAGAGCATCACTACCCGAGCCACTTCTCAATTGTGAGGTTGAGGATAGAGATGATAAATACCCACATTTTAGGTTCCAATTATCAAAGTATCTGGTTTAGGAGATTTTCAACAAATTCTAACTCAATAGATGAATGAGTAAATGGCAAGACAGATTAATTTTAGAGTAGAACTTCAATTTCTTAGAACAGTACACAATTAATTTTCAGTTAATTTGAAAAATGGCCCCTTGTACAATAACAACAAAACATATATTTTCTAATCAAGAGCTTATGACAGAAGATTGCTAATAATCCCTAGACACAAATGTGAGATCAACTAATTCAAACTTTAACATGAACTGCACTTCAGCCAAAAGACCATCACTGAGGGTGGTAGGAATAACATAACACTGAAATGACTTCTAACGTTCTGGGACATATGGGGAATCCAGCCACAGACAGTTCGTGTGTAGTACATTGTATAGATGGCAGCTGGTATTGGGAACCCAGCCCCATACATTAGATGCAGACTGCATGGAGTGGAAAGAAGTTGGTAGCTACCATTCTTGAAGTGCTTCACAGGTTCAGACAGCAGGTCTAAGAATAACTGGACCTCCTCGGGTTGGGTCCCTGCCAAGAACCGCAGAACAATGGCCATGCGTGTGCCTGAAGCAGATTTCCCTTGTGTTTTATTACCAGTCTTATTCTTCATTCTTCCATACAAAATTCTAAAAGTCAAAAGAACATTGGTTGCACTTTAATTCTAAAAATATATCTAGTTGTTTAAATCCATTTCAACTCAACAGACTTAAAGGCTCAAAACAAGGAAAACTAAAAAGAGAAATTAGGTATTGAACACATACTCAGAAGAAAGAAAATAGTAGACAACGGCAAGAAAATGTTTCTTTGTGTGTGAGAAAAGAAGCAATGCAATTGGCAGGTCAAATGGAAGTCTAATCAAACTAAAAGCAAAAGTACAGAAGTTAAAAGGAAGTGAAGAATAAAACTAAAAGAAAACAAGGAAATCAGAGATTTCAATTAGACAACTGGGCAGAGAAAGCCACATGTTAAACAGGCAAACAGAACTAAGAACAAATAAAAGTGAGTAGATCAATAATCGCTGGGAACCATGGTGCTCGTATAGTTTTACAAGTGAATTTACAATGAAATCAAATACCAATTGTTGCAGGAAATGCAACAAAGAAGAGTTAATGAAATGTATTAAAACCAATGACTCACAATAAATAAAAATGATTGGTCATTTTAGTACATGATTAACAAACATTCTAGTAAAATTCAAATGCATTACTGATAAAATTCTAAATTACCCAATAAAGGAATCTAATTTTTAACATGTTAGACTTACTTAGTACTAAAATTTTACATAGTTGTTTCCCTCCCCTTGTGACACACTCTTGCTATGCAGTTGAGGCTTGCCTCAAACTTGAACTCTCTGGCTTCTGCCTCCTGATGCCTGAAATACCATATATGTACAAAGACTGGCAAAACATGATGATTTTTATTTTTTGTTTCCTTTGAGGGAGGGTCTTGCTATAAAACCCAAGCTTGCCTTGAACTCTTGATCTTTTAGCAGTATTAGAAATTAAAATAGAAAAAAAATTTAAATACTGTTTTATAAATTCACTTAAAAGAACAATTATATTGACTGGCGGAGTGGCTCAAGTGGTAAAGCACCTGCCTAACATATGTGAGGCTCTGAGTTCAAATCTTACTACAGCAAAAAAAAGATATATAGCCTTAAAATAGCAATTATGAACTTACTACGTATTGACTTAACTAATATTTTAATGAAAAACTCATAGCTGTCTGCAATGTAGATTCCAAAACTCTTATCAACAATCTTTGTAAACTCTATTACACTGTTAAGATGAAATCTGTCTTGCTCTCTCTTCCTCACATTGATGCTGTACCATGTCAGTTACTTGGAAAGCATTGGTACACTGGGTCATATAACTCAGATGCTGGGGCTGGGTTATGGCACACCTCCCCAGCAAGCACAACTGGCCAAGTCAAATGAAAGTCTAATCAAACTAAAAACAAAAATATAGAAGTTAAACAGTAAAGAATAAAACTAGAAGTTTAAACCCTAATGCCACCAAAAATAATCCTGAAATATCAAATGCTGATCAGCAAGAGGCTTATAAACTTTGTTTATTATCAGTATTCAACTACCTCACCAAAAACGTTGTTGGTGGTGGTTTTTCTGGTGGTAGTGGAGTTTACTGGGAAACTACCATGTTTTATAGGAACAGATAAAAGCTTTCACAAATCCTAAATTTTACTTTAACTAGAATTTGGTAACTAGACACAGAGGCTATAATTTGTTCTCCTTGAAGTGACAAGCTCACTTTCATGGTCAAGAAAATGCCTGTGAAACACTCCACTATGAAAAGTAAAAAGCACCGGGCCACGAGCCATCCTTTCACACACAAATGGTGTTCTGTGACAAAAACACCTTGGACAGCTGTACTCATCCACACAGGGCTGTTCTTTTTTTTTTGGGTCCGGTCGTGGGGCCTGAACTCTGGGCCTGGGCACTGGCCCTCAGCTCTTCAGCTCAAGGCTAGCGCTCTACCACTTGAGCCACAGCACCACTTCTGCTTTTTTCTTTTTGCTTATGTGGTGCTGAGGAATCGAACACAGGGCCTCAGGCATGCACCAAGAGCATCTAGTGGAACTATTTCTTTCTTATGGAACTTCTTTCTTATGGCATTGAACAACTGCCCTGATTTTTGATAAGTTACCTGGAGCTCTACCTAGCATTGTTTTTGCATCACCAGCATAAATATAAACAAAATGAAAAAGATAATGTCTGGGGTAGGAGTGTGGCTTAGTGGTATAGTGCTCGCCTATCATGCATGAAGCCCTGGGTTTGATTCCCTATTACCACATGCACAGAAAAAGCTGGAAGTGGCACTGTGGCTCAAGTGGTAGAGTGCTAGCCTTGAGCAAAAAAAGCTCAGGGACACTGCCCACACCCTGAGTTCAAGCCCCAAGACTGGCAAAAAAAAAAAAAGTGTTAGTAATCCACAGTTTGTGGACTCATGGACTTTCTGAAGGTGTCTTGAGGACCTCCCCAAGAATGAGCAGATTTTAAAAACAACTGCTTTTATGTTACTCTTAAATCCAATAGCAAGGCAAAAGCTAAACACTACTACTTTGACTACACACAGTCAATTCTTCTATTAGATTAATTTAAAAAACAAAAACAAAAAAAGCATAAAAGTTTAGGGATAGCACCCACACAAATACATTCCCAAATATTTAACATAAAATTACCTATTTTGGAAAATCAAAGTAACAACCAAAACTAGATAGGCAAAATAATCAACCAAGGAGGCTTATATAGATAAATTACAGCCAATCTACATTACGTATAATCTTATTTTAAAATATATTATGATCTAAGAGAAAAGATAGTAAAATTTTTCATAAAATCTGTTTCTAATTATCTCTAAAACTGTTCAAGTATACACATTCAGATAGCCTTTTGTGGCTTACTTTTATCTACTCTGGACTTTATGGGCCACTTGGTTTGGCCTTTCAGAGATTTTTAAACTATGGCATTTGTATTGTTATGATTTATAACTGTTTTGACAAAGTTAGTAGTGAATATTCTCTTAAGTGTTTAAATGAGGCAACATCTACTTTATAGTCTTATTTTTCACATTATATGTAATATGTAAGTATACATGATAAATGATTTTATATATTCTAGTATTCATTCAAATATGTCCACATCTTAATGCTGACTATAAATGATATCAATCAGAATTAGGAGATCAGAGCAGTCTGAGGAGCCACAGCCCATCTGATTTAGTCCCTATCATAAAGGGAAAGGAAACTCAATGAATCTAAAAGAGTTGATTCACTTAGAGAAGGCACTAAGCAGTCCCAGGCTACATAACAAGCAAAGATCTGTTACATTTACACCAGCTTTCCAACTCCCATTATGGAAGAGCTTCATTTTTTCCTTTCATCATTATATATAATCTTTGGATTATTTATAGATCATCTTTGTGTTACTTCATTTTTAAATTGTAGTATTAGTATTGTTAAAATAACATTACAGTTAAGACCTTCTTTCATGTCACGAAGAAAGTATTCTAAATTACAATTTGATTCCCCCCCCCAAAAAAAAAGTCAAAAGTGCAAGCCAGCTGCCAGTGGCTGTTGCCTGTAATCCTAGCCAGGCGGCTGAGATCTGAGGACTGTGGTTCAAAGCCAGCCCAGGCAGGAAAGTCCATGAGACTCTAAGCTCCAATTAACCACCAGAAAACCGGAAGTGGTGCTGTGGCTCAAGTGGTAGAATGCTAGCTTTGAGCTGAAGAGCTCAGAGACAACACCCAGGTCCAGAGATCAAGCCCCACGACCGGGGTGGGGGGGGGGCGGGGGGGTGAGGAGAGACAAAGAACAATCAAAAGAAAACACAAAATGATATAGTTCATTACAACTACTGAAAAGAACGAACCATAATACTAATACAATATGCACAATTGTGTTTGTGATTAACTTTTATAAAAAAAATCAAAACAAAGCAAAAACAATACTTTTTAAACAGCTTAAATACCTCATCAGAATTGGAAATAAATCTGCTCTGTGGGCTGTTTTCACCACAGAATTATCTTCTGAAATGCTGAAATGTACTATCTCTTCTTTAAAGCTTCTGTCTTCAAGCAGCCTTTTTAAGTTCTCTCTTTAAAACAGAATCAGAACAAACCAGCAGTCAGGTCCATAGTGCTTTTTAAAAAGGCAAGAGTAATATATGCAGAAAATAAGTACAACTAAAATAACATAGTAAATAATTCATATGTGGCTAAAAGCCATAATGGAGAACCCTCAAAAATACTATCAAATTTCAAAAGGTAAAATAAATTAGAAGGGATTGAATTTAATCTATAACTTAGTTAGTTATAAGAACTTGAAAACACAAGCTTCTTTAGTTTTTAGTAGTTATGATTCCCTAAGAAATGATGATTAATTATGTAACTTTCACAACATTTTTTCCCTACATTTTCAATTGAGAACAACTATCAACAAATACACATCCAGTTTTAATTTTGTATCTGTAAATAGCACTATGATTACCTTAGAAGAAAAATTTTCAGGTCTTCAAGATACCATTTTATAAGGACTTCTATATAACAAAGTTACAAGGAACTCCAGATGTGGATCAATTGGCAGAGAACTTGCAAACTAATCCTTTCCCCCAAAATAAAACATTCCTTTAGCTTTAGGTAACTTACCTGTAAGGGAAGATATGAGGATGTCTATATGTCATTATGCAATCCAAGGCTATTTTTTGTACTGTTTGATCTTGGTGTAGCAATAACTAGGAATGACAGTTTATAGAATCAATTAATAGAGTGACACATCATAGGATAGAAATTTACTAACATCAATCTGAGTTAAATTCTCTAAAATGTAAATTTCTACATGTAGAGGTGACTGCTGACACAGCCTAATATAGAGTTAAAGGATGAACAGAGGGCTGGGAAAGTGGCTCAGTGGCAGAGCGCTTGCCTTGCATGCATAAGGCCCTAGGTTCAATTCCTCAGCACCACATAAGCAAAAAGAAAAAAGCCAGAAGTGGCGCTGTGGCTCAAGTGGAGAGCGCTACTTGAGCTGAAGAGCTGAGGGACAGTGCCCAGGCCCAGAGTTCAGGCCCCATGATCGGACCAAAAAAAAAAAAAAGGATGAACAGAATTATCTACCAAAAAATGGAAATGAGCAGCATATGATGGCACATGCCTGTCCTTTACATAGTAAGACCTCTGTCCCTTTTTTTCTTTTTAGAAAAGAAAATGAAATTTTGGTTTCAATTCTCCATATGACTCTAGATTTAAACCATCATGTGCTGATTTCATGATAAGGAAAACTTACATATAAGTAATAACAATCTATACAATGCCAGGAAAAAGAACTTGAACTCAGGGCTTCTCTGATTCATAAATTCAGATATTTTCTTTCTTATGACAACAGACTCTTAAGCTCTAGCTTCATAAACAAGGCCTATGTGAATGGGAAGAACACAAGTAAATTCTGGTGAAATGATTAAGTTTCATCTAAAACGCATCTAATAAAAAGTAGAATAAGGTGGGAATGTAAACTTGTCCAACCACTTTGGAAAGCAGTATGGAGGTTCCTCAAAAGACTTCACATAGAACTCCCCTATGACCCAGCAATCCC